TGCGAGATAAGAAACCAATCACAGAATCCCACCACCCCATAACCCAGCAAGATGAACAAAACCTAAGTGAAACCAATGACCAAGTTCAACAACAAGACCCAGATAAGAAAAAAAGTGTCGCGGCCGGTGCGACAAATCGATCAGGAACGTGAGGGTAAGAGGATGGTGAAATTGAGACAAAGAGATGGGAGCAGGAGGAGCACTGAGGAGGATGCCCAACAGTGCTAAGTTTATTCAAAACATTAAGGCCATATATATAGTGATATTACAATAGGAGAAGCAAAACATCTGTGTCTAGTTAAACAACCATGAGTTCCCATAAGTTTCACATTTGACTATAAGCAGACCTCGTGACGCCAAATGGCTGATGCCAGTACAATTGTTCTGTATTGATACAGCAAACCTGAAAGTAATTTATGGGCTGTACTAGGGCAGCAAGGACCAGCCATGAACTTATGACCCCAACCGAATTGTTCTCATGGTGTGGGAAGTCACGTAGGCGAGCACACAACACATAGCACAGACCCTTTCTCAGTGCTACTCAACTTTTCCCGTCCTAAACCTTTTGTTAGGTTATTCGGACTTTAAAGGAGGCACAAGTCAGGGCCTGGTTTGGTCCTCGTCTCAAGCCTTATTGCAGCCTCCCACAGAAAGGCCGTAACCCTAAATCACAAACTTTAAAAGATGACTGTCAAGAGAATAACACAGGCAGGTGAGTGAGGGCTCCTCTTTTCACCCTCACCACCCACAAACGTTACTGTTGAGTCAGAAGAGTCCTGAGACTTCCCTCTATACCTTCTAACTATTGATAGAAGTAAAGAAATAGTTCCTCGTGATGGAAAAGGGTGGAGGGGGTGGGTAGTAGAAAAAGCTCCCAGGTGAAGTGAACACCTGCTGACTCTCTGCTGGACCACGAGCTCCGGGCCTCTATGAGCAGCCTGAGAAGGAACCTACGTCATGAAGATATTCTCCCATGGAGCAGAACCAGTTCTTTATGAAAAGGTAAATTCCATTAGTGAAGGCTGAACACAATCTCAGAGGAGATGGCTAAGCCCATTTTTCCAGTAAAGGCTGCAAACAGCTTCATCAAAGTTGTTCCCACATTTCTAGATACAGGAAAATGTTTAGAGCTTAATTCCCAGTCTTCAACTTCAATTCAGGGGCAAGATAGAGTCATGAACTAATTTAAGGTAAAATAGGAGATTTGTATTTGAATGTATAATACATATTACTAGAAATTATATCCCTTCAATCTCTATCAAGCTGAAAGAAAGCCTCTCTTAACCTGATCATGAGATGCAAAGAGTGAAAAGTGCCTGTTGGGGATGGTCATGGAAAATATGTGACTGCAGACTGGCCCATGGACCTGGGTATTCAGGGGCTCTTCACCCCCTCTGCTGTCCTTGAGGGGTTGGTTCCACTTGCCTTTCCCACTTCTAGAGGCTGCATAACCTTGAGGACACACCCTTGAGCTAATGATGTGTTGAGAACACCTGCATGGTATACATGACTGAAACTAGTTATGGTCTCTACGCAAACTTCTAAGGTTCAGTGGGTGAATTCAGTGGTCCATTCATCTCGCTGCCCCTGAAGACAAACTTCGTAAGTTCCCTTTGTTTATTCAAACTGTCACCAACCAAGCTGGAATGGCTCGCCTCTTTCTTTGGTCTCTCCCTGCCCTCGGAGTAGGGGGTGGCAGGTTTCTGATTATAACAGGAAAGCACCCTAGATGGTTACAAACCAATGGTGCCCTAAAAATCAAGAAGACAAGAACCAATTCCCTTGTAGATAGTGCCTTGTAAATAGTGCCCATGGGAGATCTAGATGCCACTAAGAGATTAGTGGAAAGTAAGAATAAGAAAAATGGATCAGGGAAAATGAGCATTAAGAAGTGGGCAGAGAAGGGATGAAGACAATGAAATTTCCAAGGTACGTTGCTGAAGGTGGAGGATAGTTTTGCCTGGACCACTATAGCACGGCCAACTTAAGAGAAAGCCACCTGGGGCAGTGTTTGAGTGCTAATCTATTAGGGAATATATCAAAATGAAGAAAACCACCCAGAACTCCTCTTCCAGACAAATGTGTGACTAGAAGGAATCTTTTAATAATTTACTTGGGGTGGAATCTGAGAGCTCCTAAGGAGATGGGATCAGGTTAAGAGAGTAACTGCAAATTTGGGGTCAGGCTAGGAGGGCTGAGGACAAGGACATGGGGCAGAGAACTTACAAGCAAAGTGGCTTTTCACTTTCTCAACTTGAAAGTGAAATTCAAAAGCTCCAGCTAAAACGTCAAACTGCCTGAACTGCATCAAGAACATGTAATTAAATTTTGCAGAAAATTAGTGGAAGAGGGAATCTACTACTTACAAACAAACAAAACAAAAAGATAGCAAGAGAGAGAGAGAGAGAACCTTCCCAGTCTGAAAACATCAACTGTGTAAACCAGAAGCACAACTCAGGGAGGGAGATGGCTAAAGACCCGGGGAAAGAAATGGAAAAAATGACTTCCTTCTATCAAGGGCAGATTATCTCTAGTGAGGAAAAAAACAAACAAAAAATAACTCTAGATGGTTTAGGCTTTAACCTGCAATCATGTCCCAATTCCTCTCTCCATATAGGGATGGAAGAGGGTAAGTCCAAATAACATAGTTCCACAGGGTCCTAGAGCTGGTGCAAGGGATGGCTTTCACCTAATGACTGGGAGCGGGGCCGCAGCCAGACAGCCCCCACCACCCCCCACCATGGCCAGTTGAAGCTGAGACAATATAGTTCAGAAGTAGACATTGAAAAATAGGAATCTGGTAGAGAAATGAGCGCAGGGAGCAGTGTGTCAAGAGAGCAAGAAGGTGAGAAAGGCAACCCTGGCATTTGTCTGTTGTCCGCAGCTAACTTTTTGATGTACCCTACACATCTCATTTTTACCTCATCTGCTCAAGACTTCCCTTGACCACCATATCTAAAGCAGTTCCCATGTACTTTTTAAGTCAGTATCCTGGATTTGTGTTTCTTTCTTTGCTCTTATTACAGTTTTTTATTGTTATTTTCTATTCTCTCAAAACTGTAAGCCCTCTGGGGTCAGGGACCATACTTGATTTGTTTATTCCTTTTCTCCCAGATGCCAGAACAGGTTTGGTCCCACAAATATTTCTTGACTAACTAGATGGATAAGTGCTCATGGTCTTAAGAAGGCTATCCTAAGAGCCCTAAAGTCCAAATTAGAGTATCTTACTTGTCTTTCTCTCCATAGTGCCTAAACCCTCCATAGCTGGTACCTAGCGAGTACTTAACAAATATTTTTGAATAAAGTAATAAAGCTGTTTGTAACAACAACAAAAGAAATCAATGTATCACTCATCTTAAGAACCTCATATAAATTAATAAGTAGCCTCAGGTTTTGTTTTATTTTGTTTTTGTTTTTGTTTTTTTTTACAATTGGGTAGGTTCATATGTTTATTTTCCAAATCGAGCCTTTTTTTTTTTTAAATGGATTCAAACATTGCTTTCTTTATACTCCCTTTGTTAGTATGGCACAATAATGTAATTTATTCCTCTTGGGTTTTCCAGTCAGTTTCTGAGCTAATACTCAAAGAATCCTTTCTGTTTCTCAGTTGGATGATACTTGATGAATAAAACTGTGAATACAACTGTAAAAGGCATTCCCTTTTTAAAAATGAAATCAGGGGAAGCTCATATGGTTTCTCATTGACAGACCTATTTTGGACTCACTAGACTGTAGGAAAAAGCTAGTATCTATAAACTAGAAGAGAAGCTTATGACTCATTTCAAACTAGAAAAATCAAGTTAAATTTTTCTGACTTCTAGTGTGTTCATTTCTACTTACTCTGACTATGCTAGACACTATGGAGAAATATATATACATATATATGTAAAATAAAGTTTCTTCCCCCAAGGAGCTGACCAAACAGCAGGAAAGATAGCAATTCAGACGATCCTAATAAAAGCCACAATAAGGCCAGCATGGTCCAAAGTGTAATAGGAACACAGAGCAAGGAAAGGTAGGTCACAGCTGCTATGATCAGTGAATGCCTTATGGAAAAGGTAGCATTTTAGATGGGCCTTAAAGTGGGCTTGTTTCAAAAAGCATTATGATATGGGTTACATGGATTATTCTATTATAGTCTACATGTATCTACTTGCCAAATTTTGGCTTTCATAGAAAATGAACTTAGTGAAAAATAGCTCTCATTTCCTACTCAAAAAAAAAAAAAAAAAAAAAGATAAGGGGGCACCTGGGTGGCCCAGTTGGTTAAGCATTTGCCTTCAGCTCAGGTCATGATCTCACAGTCCTGGGAAGGAGCCCCCACATTGGGCTCCCGGCTCAGTGGGGAGCCTGCTTTTCCCTCTGCCACTACCCCAGCCTGTGCTCACTCGCTCTCTGTCAGATAAATAAAATCTTAAAAAGGTGGGGGGAGGGGCAAAGTTGGCAGTGGATACCATTTCAAACTGCTTTTGACCAAAATTTTTAGATTGTACTAATTAATATTTTTGAATACTTTATGCCAAGAACTGCATTAAGCTCTTTTAAAATGCATCCTTTCCTTTAGTTGCTGCAACAGCCCATGAGGTAGGCATGATTATTTAATGTCTATTTTGCGGATTGGAGGCAGGTATACTTTAAAACTGGCCCAGGATCACCCGGCTGATAAACAAGACTTTGGGGCTGGTATCCACAGAGTCTATGCCCATAAACCATTAAGTTACCAAGATAAAGCTTTGCAGGTGGGAGAGCAGATCCATTAGCCAACCCTGGACCACATCTCCATCACCTAGCACAGCCTCTGGTACCTCCTAAGTCTATTTTGTAAGTTTTCTCGAATAAATATAGTTTATTATTTATTAATTCAACAGCGCTGACTCCCTGATCAACTTAAAGCCAATGTGATTTATTCTTTGATGGGGAAATAATTATGGATCTGGCAGCCACTGGGTGTCGAGTCCTGTCCTAGAAACTAGAGGAAACATCTTAGCAGCACGCACTAGATGCTTGAGGGGAGGAGGGCCGAGGAGGTGGAACTCGGTTGGAGGCGCAGGTGGGGCCGGGAGGAACGCGGGCCTGTTGAGGCGGGAACGGACTTCCGGGGAGGGGACAGCCGTGTGGGGCGGACCTGCACGCGGAGGAGGAGGAGGAGGCGTGGGAAACCGGGGGGAACCTGTGAGCCGAGGCAAGTACGCTCCAGGCTTTTTGTCGGTGGGTTCGAAATTCCCAAGTTGCCCTTGGAAATTCTTTTCTTCAACCCCCTCACAGTCTCCCAGCCCCTAGCAGGGTTTTGACCCAGCCACTCCCCGCGGCCCGGACGTGCACAGCCCGAAGTCGAGCTGGGCTCCTCTGGCCCCCGGGACGCGGGTGGAGGGAGCGGCGCCCCGGGCTTTGCGACTGAGCGAATTCGTGGAGGGCAGCAGGGCGGGGAGAAGAGGAGGTTCCAAGCCCGTGCTCTGGCAGGCAGAGCACAGGCCCCTCGGAGCCCCGTGGGGGAAGGGGGACGGGGAGGCCCCACGCTAGTCGGCAGGGAGGTGGGGTGGAGGACGGGGCAGAAAGTGGGGCTGTCACCCACCTGAGGGGATGTTTGACGCAAGGAGGCGGAGCCCGCAAGTCAGTCTCTGCTTCTCACCAAAGAATGTGACAGGCACGGAATCACCAGCTTGTCACCTAGTTTCAGGAGCAAGAAGGCCGCAACCACTGGAGACACCTTAGTCAGGAAATTGGAGGGGGAGGGAGGGAGGCTCTGAAAACATCTCGAAATGTACCTGAAATGCACCCAGTGGCTTTTCAGCCCGTGTGACAAACACCCACGAGGGAAAGCATGCAGTAACAGCCCACGGAATATGGGCGATGGTTTTATAAAGAAAAAACACTCCAAGAGTCGCATCAGAGCGAAGGAGTTGGGAGATAATCAAGCTGAAACTAAAATGAGTTTAATTCAAGAGCTGGGATCTGAGACGGAACCGAAGTAAAAACTTTTTTTATTTAAAAGGTTAGGAACCAAAAACAAAGTTGGGAGGGGAAATTTTGCGTTAATTACTTCAAATTATCCTGTAGTTCTGTTAAAGAATAACAGTTTATCAAATAGTGATTTTTAAATTTTACCCCAAAAGGAGTTTTGCTGGATTTATTATTGGATGCTATTACAATTATTCCTCTGCTTTAAAGACCAAGTTGTAGCTTCCGAAGGGATTTTGTAGTTTTACTTGAAAATGTGATGAAGGATAATAATTCAATAAACTGAAAATACATAGCTAAAATTCTCACTTAAAAACCACTAATAGCTGTTAATGACCTATAATATCAAAAAGAGAAAGGAAATGGGATTTCTTTGCGATGTAACAAATTTTAGAGCAACGCCTGTTCTGATGGACCTCATTTTAAAGAAGAATATGACCCCTAAAATTACTGTAGGTAATTACTTTAGGAATTTACTTACCTTTTACTTTGGACTAGCTGCCGCTGCCACTTTCACACACCAAGCACTGGCACATGCTCTTTCCTCCGTCTAGAACGACTACATTTCAGATTTGTAGTTTCTCCTTCCAGTTTGCTTGTGAAAAGCCTAAAGACAAGTGTCCCATACTTTTAGACTGTATTAATCCTAATTCTTCTAGACACTCTTCTCCCGCCAAATGTAAATGTTGGCAGTTTTGCAAAAGTCAGTTTCTTCATCCTGACTGGATGAGTTTACCTCTGGAATTCTGTCGAATTTCTTATGATTGGTTCCATAGGATTAAAACTCATTCTTCACTTCAACAGTTAGCTGGTTATACCCAGAGGAATTTCGGGGACAGGAGCATACATAATTTGGTGTTACCAGGAAATACAGCAAAAAATATTTGTGGCATGATAGTTAACAAATATTTTAAACGTCTTAAAATAAGAATACCTATAGGGGCGCCTGGGTGGCTCAGTGGGTTAAGCCACTGCCTTCGGCTCAGGTCATGGTCTGAGTCCTGGGATTGAGCCCCGCATCGGGCTCTCTGCTCAGCGGGGAGCCTGCTTCCCCCTCTCTCTCTGCCTGCCTCTCTGCCTGCTTGTGATCTCTCTGAAATAAAATCTTTTAAAAAAAACCTATATTTAAAAGTCGCACATCAGATTTAATAATACACCAGATTTTAAGTCCTGTCATACTGATGGCCAGATGAGTTGAACAGTGGCATAGTTTTTTGTGTAATAGGAACAAATAACTTCTACATATACACGTAACATTGCACTAGTTTTAGATTTGCTTAGAGAAAACTTGATTGGGAAAGTCAAGTGGAGAGGAGTGGGGAAGACTAAATGCATTTGACTGTTATTAATAATGAGTATAAGAAAAAATTTCTGAGTGCAATGGAACTCAAGTAGGTGTTCCATGAGAGAAATATAGAAACTTCAGTATTTGAGTTATTACCATTATTATAATGCTTTAGCTTTTGTTTATTTCATCTATTTTTCATCTTATTTACTCTTCACTAGTTTAAACATGAGTGAAAGCAGCGAAGAATGTGTGAAAAAGATTGGCAGTGTGAATCTTGACAAACTTATAGATGACTTCTCACAGATAGAAAAGGTATGTAAAGATATAAAACAGTTGTAGTATAAAAGGAAAAAGTGAAACAGATTTTGCCAGTGGAAGGAGTTGGGGAAAAAAGAAAAATGTACCAAAAAAGATAGTGGAAATATATTTTGCTAAGTCCTTTCTCTCTCATTTTTAAAATCCATATTTAAAATATAGTTGATCTTGAATCATTTATACTAATACATCAAAATGTTCCTGGGACAAGGAAGCAGTTGATATACTTTGGCTACAGTTAAAGGGGAAATATATACTTAAATGTTCAAAATGTCCATAAACCCAGGAATGTTTTAGTAAGAATTGAAATAGACTCACTCCTCAATGTATTACCATTATGACTAACTTTTTTTTTTTTTTTAACTTTTTCCTAATCTGGTCCTTTTTCCTTCTCTTTTGCCTAAAAATGGATCCATCTGAGGGACGCCTAGGGACTCAGTGGGTTCGGCCTCGGCCTTTGGCTCAGGTCATGATCTCAGGGTCCTGGGATGGAGCTTGCATGGGGCTCCCTGCTTATCGGGGAGCCTGCTTCCTCCTCTCTCTCTGTCTGCCTCTCTGCCTACTTGTGATCTCTCTGCCAAATAAATAAAATCTTAAAAAAAAAAAAATGTAGGTAGATAAGTGAAAGATTTGAGGAGTGAGTTTGTGAAGCAAAGGTGGGAAGAGGAATAATACCTACCTCTATTTTCTCTCCTATCATTCTTCTCTGTTCCTTCTATTCCTCTGCACAGTGTTGTATGACCATAATAAAATATATAATCATGATGATGGGTATTTTGAGGTAACATTAGGAACTTTTTTTAAAATGATAAACTTAAAAAAAAATAAAAATAAATGATAAACTTGAGTTTTCTTAACCAAGTGACTCTTATCAAAATAAGAGAGAATAGAGAAAGAAACAAGAGGCATTGTTGGTGGCAGAGGAATTGATGCAAAGTTTTTAGAGATTATTCAGAAATATCTATCCTATCCTTAAATATTTTAAATCAGAAATATCGATTTCTTCATGTGAATGGTATTGTGATTGTATTAAGAATTTTATCTCTTAGAGATACAGGTAGATGATGAGATTTAAGGATGAAATAATTTAATGTCAGGGAGTTGCTTTGAGATAAACTGAGAAGCAGAGAGAATAGGAAAGTGGGTAGAGATATAGATGATAAAATGAATTGATGATTTTTGAGGCTGTTCCAAGGGTACATGGCAGCTATTACACAATGCATAAAGATACCAAAAGGATGTTTATTCATTGTTTATAGTAGCAAAAAAAAGTGGAAATAACACAAATTACAGTATACTCATAAACGAAACTCAATGAAGCTCTTAGAAAGAATGAAGTAGACCTTTATGTGCTTATATGACATCCTCTTCAAGATAACCGTTCTAAGTGGAACACCCAGGTGCAGAATAGAGTATAATATGATTCTTTCCTAGAGTTGTATAGTCATAAAGTATTTTGGAAATATATGTAAGGAATTGTTAACCAGAGGACTGCGGATTAAATAATTGGAAATAAGGGGATTCAAGTCAAGTCCTATTGATTTTCATAACTCTTTATAACTGTTAGTCTGTTTTAATTTTTCCCATGTTACTTTTAAAATTAAAAATTAGGAAGTTGACTTGCAGAAAATATATGCCAGACTTAATTATTAGACTTTTAGGTATTAAATGGTTTGTATTTTCATTAGTCTTCATGTCATTAGGTTAAAAAAAAAATAGCAACATTGCTCTGGTAATAATGTTATTTCTTCTACAGAAAATGATAGAAACCAGTGGAAAGAATAATATACTGGATATACAATTGGAAAAAACTAACTATTTGTTAAAAGTAATGCAAACAAAAGAGGTCTCAATTAAAGAAGGTTAGTTCTTTGCTGCCTAAAGAAATGCTAATTCTAATGAGAGTATTTTTTGGATAACAGTGATTAATATTATACCATATATTTGTAAAATATTTTAAATTTACATAGTTTTCTGGGCTATCATTTCATTTTATCCTTACTGTAGCCCTGATGGATAGGATTTGTATTACCCAAGCCACCTCAGTAATGAAGAAACACCGAATGAAAGAAGTTAATCTATCTGAGGCCACAAAACTAAGAAATGGCAAATCCAAGGTTCAAAACCAAGGATAAAAATAACGGTTGAATTCCTGCCTCACAATTACACCAAAAGAAACTTCAGATGGGTCAAAAATTTTAGGGCCCAAAATGAGCTGTTCTAGTCCAAAGCTCTCCCTTTACTTCTGGGACAGCCAGGCCACGTGTACCTCCAAGCTTCCAGCAGCCAGCTACCCTCCCTGCCGTGGCCCTGCTCTTGATCTATCCTTCTTTGCCCACCTCCTGGCCTGCCAGGAGCCTGAGAGCCTGGGTTCTCTGCAGGACAAGTTGCTGCTCTTTGAGAATGTTGCCTTGCTTTGAGGCACGGTGGTCTGGGACTACACACAGATAAACGAGTTTTAGCTGCACCGGGAGCCTTAAGGCCTGGTAGTGCTTGGCTTCCCTGTGCAACCAGTTCAGGGCATCTGGAGAATTCAAAAGAGAGCCTGAATTCCCTCAATTTCATCTGGTTGCACAGTTCATACCTGCAAAGGTTATCAAAAACAAAACTCTGAGAAATTATCACACCCAAGAGGACCCAAACAGACATGATGAATTTATGTCCTGTGGCACTATGAATGGGATTCTGGAATAGAAAAAGAACATAAGGTAAAAACTGAGAAAGCCTGAATAAAACATAGATTGTACTTAATGTATCAACATTGGTTCATTGATTATTTAAAAACATGCCATACTAATGTCGGATGTTATAGGAGAAACTGGGCATAGGATATTTGGCAATTCTCTATAATACCTTCCTGGTTTTTCAGGATATATATTTAGTAGAAAACCATACTAAAAAAAGTGGGGGGGGGATGAAACCACAGAAAAAAAAATAGAAGAGAATATGGGTTTTTGTGGGGCTTTTGTGTTTGTTTTTTAGTGCAGAGAAGGCCTCTCCAAATGTGACAGTCATCTGATTAAATAAATTATAGCACATTTATTTGAAATACTAAGCAGCTGATAAGAATAAAGTAGCTCCATATGATACAGAATAATCTCTAAGATACAGTAAAACAACAGTGTTCACCACAGCATGCTATCATTTTTATGAAAATATCTTTGTACACACAAAACATCCTCTGCCTTACACATCTGTGTATCTCTAGAAAGGTAAGCAGCAGCACCCTGGTAACAGTACTTGCTTTGGGGGAAGGGAGACTGATTAGCCTGGGGCCAGAGATTGGAGAGAGAATCATTTTTCACTATATTCTGTGTTTCGTGTATATTTTATTATTTGAAAAAAATAATTAAATACCTTTTAAAAATCCAGTTCTACTTATTCTCAATCTGATGGCCTTTTCACTGGATAATACACAGAAGTAAAAGAACTAGTGGGAATAACAGCTTACAGAGCCAAGTGTGTACTAGTTCACTTAGAAAAAACTACATATATGATTAGATTTCAACAATAAAGAACGAGACCATCACATTGTATTTTCTGCATTTGATACCAGATAAAGAATTTCTGCCAGTTCAAGATGATAATTAGTATTGAGAGCCAAGTGCTAAAAAAAACCTTTTCATACATAATTGTATTCAACATTTCCAAGTGCTTTGTGAAATAGGTAATATTCAAATTGCTAGTTAATGGTTGAGCCTAAATTTGAGCTCAAAATAAACATGTATTTATTAAATTATACAATAGTATAATTAAGAACTAGCTTGATATTCTGAATGCTAATTTTTAAGAATAGGACAGTATTCATTATAAAATCCAACAGAAATGATGTGGGTAAATATTTGCAAAAAAAAAAAGTTTGTTAAAAATGTTAAATGTTTGTTAAAAGCCATTATTCTAAAATAACGAATGGTGGGGCGCCTGGGTGGCTCAATGGGTTAAAGTCTCTGCTTTCAGCTCAGGTCATGGTCGCGGGGTCCTGGGATGAGCCCCGCATCGGGCTCTCTGCTCAGCACGGAGCCTGCTTCTCCCTCTCTCTCTGCCTGCCTCTCTGCCTACTTGTGATCTGTCAAATAAATAAATAAAATCTTTAAAAAAATTAAAATAATGAATGGTATTCTACCTTATAAACAGTTTTTATTGAACCCATTTCCTTTGCAGGGGGGAAAAAGTGTCAAGAGAGCCACCTTGTGCTCATATTTTGAAATACACATTTAAAAAAATCAGTTTCAGTTCCAGGGTTCTGTTTCCAATTTACTGATTATAGTTGGTCTATAATCTATTAACACATATTTTGTGTTATCAGTAAGGATTTAGTCAATAGTTGGCTATTAGTAAAGATTCCAAACTTTATTTTTTTAAAGATTTTATGTATTTATTTACGAGAGACAGAGAAAGAGGCAGAGGGAGAAGCAGGCTCCATGCAGAGCGAGAAACCCTATGGGGGACTCGAGTCCCAGGACTGTGGGATCATTACCTGAAATGAAGGCATATATGCCCAACTGACTGAGCCACCCAGGTGCCCCAAACTTTTTTTTTTTTTTTAAGTAAACTCTACATCCAAAGTGGGGCTTGAACTCACAACCCTGAGATCAAGAGTCACATGCTCTAAAAACTGAGACAGCCAGGTGCCCCAGTAGTTAAGTTTTTGAAGAGTCAAAAGTTGCACTCAGATTTTCAACTGCACAAGAGTCTGCTTCTCTAAGCCCCATGTTACTCAAGGGTCAACTGTACTGAGATAGCTTCAGCCACCATATTTCATGAATTGCTGGATTATTTCCTCTAGAAGGCAAAAAGAGAAATGATGGCAGAATCTATGCCTCCTTAATTTTTTTTTAAGATACTAAGTAATCACTGCATTTATGGTGGGGCTCACAACTTAGAACCCTGAGACCAAGAGTCACATGCTTCACTGACTGAGCCAGCCAGGCACCCCCTTAATTTTCTAATCGTAGCAGCTAACATAGCAATATATGAAGTAGGCTATGTCAAATGTGAATTAACCATCATTCTGTTACTAGGGAATACCAAAAGAGGGGAAAAAAGCAGGGGGAATGGTGGGAACTTTGGGTGGTGGGGATGTAGAGGGGACGCATGGAGGAGTGAAAAACCACAATAGTAGAACCTTATATCTGCATAAAGATTTTAACTCTACAAAACACTTTCATTAGTTGAAAAAAGTACATAGAGACTCGGGGCAGACCTCTAACTGAAAGGCAAAGTTTTTCATTCTCCCCTCACGGTAGTGGTTCTTTCCTTCAGTCAATAAATAAAAATACCATTGAACACCTATGAAATAGTCACCATGTTAGATGACAGAAATATCAGTTAATAAGAAATGATCTTTACCTGAAAGAGTTCATCGTCTAGTGAGAGAAGCCACAAACAACTAAAATGAAATGAGCAAAGGAAAGGAGGTATATACAAATTCCTGAGAGAGGAGAGAAATAAAAATAACAGTGTTGAATGTTTGTGAATAAATTCAGAAAGTATTGTTTTCTCATTTGGTTGTCAGAACCATCATATCTATGAAACTAGTCTTATATGTGAGGGAGGAAGGGTATTATCCATAGTTTTATTTTACAGATAGAGAATGTAAAGATCAAACAGGTTAAGTAGATTGTCCAGGGTGTCATAGCTAGAGAGTGAAAAAGAGGAAACTCTATTCTTATCCCTCAGACTCCAAGTTTCATGGTTTCATCAGCATATCCTATAATTCCTAAGGAAGTAGTGAAAAGCAGATTAACAGCAGGATTTGAAATGGGAAAACCTATGTTCAAGTCCATCCCTTCCATTTACTAACTCTGGAATCCTGGGCAAGTAACTGAACTTCTATGGGTGACTGCCCCCCTCTTTATAAAATCAGGCTAATAATACCAACCTCTCAGAAGCATTTTGAAAACTAATTGGGGTAATGTTTATAATGTACTTAGTGTAATGCCTGGCGGAGTGAACGTTCAATAATTGGTATTATTTTTATACTAGATAACTTTTTGTTATTAGATACAAATACATTATTTAATATTTAACTATCAAAACAGATGCCCAGCTAGAACGTCAGTCAGCATGTCATATGGGTGCATACTGGCTGAATGTCCATCTTGGGCCTCTAAAACTGAGTGAAAGAGAATAAGATTCAATATTTATTAGCTGTTAAGCCAAGTACATTCAGTTGAAATTGTCCTACTTTAAAAAATTGTACTTCAACTTTACAAGTTAAGATTTTAAAGATATTAATTTACTTTTTTGTGAACTTTTCATCACTATGTATTTAGCTAGTGTAATTGTAAACTTAAACTAGTGCAACCTGCGCTCCCGAAGCTTCAGTAAAAATTCAGTAGGAATCACTATCAGAAAGAATCTTTCTCTGATTCTGTTCCTGCCCTCTTTCCAGGGCCTCCAACCAATTCATATTTTCAGCCCTCTTCTAGAGTGCTCCTGGGCTGGTCTTCTTTGTGATAGCAAAGTAGTTAAGTTCTAGTCTTTACTGCCTGACTGCTGGGGTTCAAGTTGTAGCTCTACCACTTACTAGTTATAAGTGTGACCTTGGGCAATTTACTAAACTTCTGCGTGTCCGTTTCCTCAGAGGTAAAATGAAACAAATATTAGGACCTACCGCTCAGGGTTAGGAGGGCTAATTTATTCAATATTTGCAAAGCACTTAGAATAGCAATATAATGTTATTTTCAGGCCAGAGCTTTACCACCCTTTTCTTGCTTCAGTTTAATATTGACTGTCTATCAATCAGTCACCCAGCAAATATTTATGGAGTGTCTGCTATGGACCACAGCTACTCTAAATACTAGGAAGAAATGTGAACAGAACAGAAAATAGTCCCTGATATCCTGGGGCTTACAGCCAAGTGGACTGCTTGACTTACAGAAGTTTCCATCTCTGTTGCTACCCACTAAAGTTTATCTATTGCTAGTTATAACCAAGAGTATATTGAAAACTTATATTCACATGACAGGGTGTAAAAGCTTTCAGTGAAGGCCCCAGACATGTCCAAGTATACCTTCCTTCTAGGGCAAATATTTCTAAAGCATATGGAGTGGGGGATCCCTCCTATGCTGAATTTATTGTAGGTAGAAAACTCATGACCAAATCCCAGGATGCACTTGACTTAAAGGGTGATTAAAAAGTACTTATTAAATTATCTTTAAATTATCGACTTTGAGATTGCTAGTTACCTTAAGATCTCATAATTGTCAATTAAGTATTTTAAGCCTTTCAACTTTGAGACAATAGTTCTAAAATAAAAACAATTTTCAAATATGTCTTTCATATTTTAGAATGTGCTACTCTTCATAATATGATAAAAGGGCTACAACAGACCATTAAATCTCAACATGATTTGAGAGGTAAGTTAGAAAAAATTCTCTAAAAATACGTTATTTTTGAGTAGCTTTAAAAATAGAGTTTTTACATCATTGACCGTAAGTTTCTTCTAATCTGGTCTTGTTAAATTCATCAGCTAATGACAAGACTCCTCACCAGCAAATCATACTTTCCTAAATTATTATGAAATAAATACTACCCTGAGCAGGACAATTCAGTCTGATTCTGACAGGGACATCAAGGGGGATGTTTTATAATTGGTCATAATAATTCTATTATTTTCAAAAGTTTAGGAATATATTCTTGGGGGTACTCTTGGTCTTTAAAGACCTTGTGTTCAGTTTTGAAGGGTAGTTACTTACTAGTAGTTACATGATGAATATACTACTCAAACTGCATGATAGTTTGCTACTTAATTTTCATCATAAATGAGGCTATGTTTGTGTAAATGAAGCCAACATCTCCGCTTACCTTATTTTTGCTAGTCATGCTAACCCAATGTGCTTGTTCATTGACAAAATGCGCAAAGCAAACAAGTGTTTTGTCCTGTTCTGATTTAACTACAGTGCATTGTTTGAGATTTTCTTCTACTGTGTTGATTAAATGAAACTGCCTTCAGAGTCCCTCCCAATAGAAAACTCACATCAAACAAGAATTTTTCATTTTAGTCCTCTTTTTTATCAGGAAGTACTTTACATATGGAGGTGAAACATAATAATCTTACACATCATTTATTTGCTTTGGCATGTTATTCCTTATTTTTTGAATGTTCTAATTGAGATTTATCTTTAAGAATTACTATTAGTTCTTACTCCCCCCCACCATTGTTTTACCTTAAAATATTTCCTCAAGGGTTGATGGAACAAATATAAAAAATTGCATTAAAAGACTTGACATTTACACTGTCAAAACAGCATCTGCAGTACAGAAAGGATTCATTTTCCTATCGATACACCACTAAAAGCTGTTGTGGAGATCAGGAAAGGTAATAGATGGGGAACAACACCATCTCCAATGCCTGTTCTTCTGGCTGAGTCCCGCAGACTTCTGATCCCCTGAGGTCTCACAGATTTTCACTTTTTGGCTCTAGCAATCTGCTCACTTTTTTCAGCATTTGAATCCCATCCCACACCTAGTTTGGGCTTTGATTTTCCCATCTCAATGCTGAGGTTCAAAACAACTTTTCCCTTCTCTGTGACTAAATACACCTAACTGCATTTTAGAAGTTGTGAATCTTCATAATCCTTACAGTCCTCTTATTCTAGGATTCAAATGGTATTTAACTTCTTCCAGGATTTTGTTCAAATAAAACATCTACCAGAAAGTAAAGTTACTTTGAAGCCCCAGAAAGTTAATGTTTTATATATTCATTACTGAATTACAATTATTTTTGTAAAAAATATATCAAATATTGATCGATGGTCAAGAATACAATCTTTTCACAGGTATAACATCCTCTCTTTGAAGTAATGTGTGTTTGGAGTTTAAAGCATGGACATGTGTCCTTAGAGTATGATTCATCACAATATATCAAATGATAGGGATTTTTCCTATATTATATTACTGTATATTATATTATATGCTAGTTTAGGAGAACCTCAGTAATTCATTGTATGAAAGATAGTGTCATTCTGCCATCTAGCTTATGGTTAGTTACTACCAGGGCAAAGAAAACAAGATTCAGAGATTTTTGTTCATTAGAAGAGAATTCAGAAATTTAAGAACTCAAACACATGGGGGTACCTGGGTGGCTCAGTTGTTTAAGTGTCTGCCCTTGGCTTAGGTCATGGTGCTAGGGTCCTGGAATGGAGCCTGGCATCAGGCTCCCTGCTCAGCAGGAAGCCTATTTCTCCCTCTCCCACTCGCCCTGCTTGTGTTCCTTCTCTCGCTGTGTCTTTCTCTGTCAAATAAATAAATAAAATTCTTAAAAAAAAAAAAATTCAAACACATGGGCAGGGTGTTGTGGAGAAAAGAAACACAAGAAATCAGCTGTAAATACAGAGCTTCACTAAAATCAGTGGAATTCAAGCTTACTTTTGCCAATTATCTCTAGATAATTTCTTGCAATTTAATATTGCTTTCTTTTTTCTTGTCTGAACTAAACCTGAATAACTTGGATGTATTAAGGCCCATACTCTATCAACGTAGGTTTCCAGAAAGACATTGATTTTGTATAGTAAAGTTGTATTATACATAACAATCATAGTAAGCAAAATGATCAAAATTGATCACTGATCAGAATGTTTTTAAAAGGACAATAGCACATGGTTGAGTGCTATTCTATGAAAGAATAATCTGAGAAAGTAAGCTAATCAATGATTAGTTTTCTCCTAAAGAAAAAAGTATTGCTCAAATTAAAAGTAGTTTGAAAAATATAGAAATACTTCTTTCAACACACAATTTAACACGTTAGCTTCTATTATATCCTTGGAAAAATGCTACATTTATATTAGTACATTCTATGTGGGGAAATGATCTGCTGTGAGTATATATTTCAGAACCTTCATTATTTAAAAATTGCCTCCTTCCAAAAGAGATTTGCTAAAGGCACATTAAAAGAAACCTAAGCACAAAACCCATAAACAAGACCAATTACATAATTTGCAGGGCCCCACGCAAAAGTGAAAATGTGAAGCCCAATGTGCAAAAGTTAGGGGAAAAGTAACATTACAGGTTCTAAAATATAAGCTCTCTGCTTGGCAGGGAGCCTGCTTCCTCCTCTCTCTCTCTGCCTGCCTCTCTGCCTGCCTCTCTGCCTACTTGTGATCGCTGTCTGTCAAATAAATAAAATCTTCAAAAATAAGGTTCTAAAATATAGAGCTTTTTTTCTTCTGTGGTCTCTCTCAACTTGCCAGGGTTTTGTACTTTCTGTTAATGTTGCTCTAGGCAAAAAATAAATAAATAAAAATTTTTAACTAGGAGCATTAATATTACCATTCATCTTTGTATTGTACATGCCGGTTTTAAATTTTAATTTTAATTTTTAATTTTAAAAAAAGATACATAATTCACAAAAGCACACAACTAATACTTCATAGCTTGTACATGCACATGCACATCTGTTTCATTCTTACCATAATAGTGAAAATGCTGCACAGAACTACCTAAACCATTTATTATTCATTTTACTTCTTGGTCCCTGCACATTGTACCAATACTCCCCACCTTCACTTCCCAATGAACAAAGAACTAAAAGGAAAAGGAACTATGAATTTTCCTATCCTTCTCTTTCCTTTCATGTCATCCTTTTAAGCATAATTAGATGGTTAATAGAGGGAAATAACAGAATTAACCAAGGATATGATAGAGCTGCTTGGTCATTCATGTTTCTTAGAATGCTATTGCTTTCTTTCTGCATTTGAAACAAGTTCTACGTCAAAAGAAAATAAGGGCCCTTGCTCACTCAGTTGTAGATGGAACATGTTTACCTTGTACTTTTGAGTTTTGCTGGGCTCCCAGGCATCCTAAGTCCACCAGAATTCTGTGCTCCTGGGGCATTGCAAATACAGTGTATGAATGTAGTGGCAAGGAGCAGTGGACCTGGACAATGTCCTTACCTTCTCTGCTTGCACACATGCTCCATTGTCCCACTGGAACTTACTTAAAAATGTAAGTTCAGAGACCAAATTATTAAGTTCAAAGACCCTATTGTTAAGAAAGTCTAGACATTGAAGGCAAGATGTTAAAGCTAGGATAGCCCCCTTCTGGAGGCAGGGTCCCATGCAGCTGCACAGATTGTACACGGATAACGCAAGCCCTGCTGATGATGAATAAGAAGAGCGTTAGGAAAATACTTTGATCAGAAGCCTAACCTAAGGGGTACTTGCTTCAATATAGCACAAAAGTTAACACTAAATCTTCTAGAAACCAAGGCGAAACAAAATAAGACAAAGAACAACTTGGGCAGTTATATAACTATTAATTTCCTATTTAAAAAATAATAAAATAAAAACACTCAGTTAATTAAAAGACAAAAACTTTTCCAGGAAATGAGTTAATGCTGCTGGAGGAGAGTTCCGGTTTAAATCAACACAGCCTTAATTCAGGCAACCATGTAAGGAACTTTAATGTACAACTATCTAGCTCATTATGGAATGAAATTATTACAAAGCTAAGCAATCCAATCATCAATGACATTTTAAAAAAAAAGCCAACTCACTGTAATCATATAATGAAAACAAAGACAATGTACACTTAAGGACCTCCCAGTTCAATACCGAGGGAGAATAACTAATTTTAGCAAAATTGTATCACGAAATTTAGAGTCCAAGAGAATAAAATGAATTTTGCCTAGGCCAGAGAATATCAGGACCAGGCGGACTCTACAATGATGCAAAATACTATTTGAATTTACAGATACTCCAGCCAGAGCAGCAAGAGCCTTACACCTCAGGGAGGTAGCCAGAGTGGGAATCCATGTTTAAAAATCTAATCTAGACTCTGGTAGGGTGATGAAAACACAAGAGTGCCAATGATAATCTGTGTTGTTTGTACTACAAATGAAAGGCAACATAGAGCCAACTGAAGTGTAATATAATATTAAGGAAGTTAGCTATTTCTTCAGTAGATGGCTTTAGTTCACAGATAAGTTCTGTGGTTCTACTTAGCATAATTATAAATGTGCCTAAGTCAGATAATATGCAAGTAGTTTAACATTTAGATGGGTTAATCAGTTTTTCTGGCAGAGGGAAGATTTCTTGTTAAAATGTCAGTTTTCCTCAAGTTAATATATACATTTAATTCCATTTTAATTAAAATTCTAAACTGGCGATGGGGGGAGATTGTATAAAATAATCCTCAAGCTCATTTGACAGAAGAAACAAATAAGAAAACTGAAAAATAAGAATGTGGAAGAGGGGGAGTTTTGTTACCAGGTAATGACATGCTTTGAAACTGCTGTAATGAAATCAATATGGTATTGGCATGGAAATTGAAAACTACATCCCCAGAAAGAATAGAGAACTAGATTCTAGAAACAGGCCCAAATATTTGTTAAAGTAATATATGACACAAGAAACAAAAT